TTTCCCACGCTCCTGTTGGGGGCTAAGAGCACACTTATCTCCCTGAGCATGGCCTTCATAAGTCCATTCCATCACACATGGTATCCTTTTGGGTCGACTTGAGGAGTTGGGAGTGGGTGGCACAGTTTTGTGCTGGTTCTCTTCCTTCCTCCAAGGTCGATCCTAATTGATGTTGATTGGGGGCAAGAGGTCCAGTTTGTGGCCCCTCCTTTGTGGGGTGCCCCAGGGTTCGATACTCTCTCCTTTTTAATATCTACATGAAACCACTGAGTGAGATCATCCGCCACCATGGGATGAGGTATCATCAATATGCAGATGATACCCAGTTATACATCTCCATCCCGGGTGAGGTAAATGATGCTGTGACCACCCTTTCGTGGTGCTTGGAGGCTGTGGGGGTCTGGAAGGGGTGCAACAGGCTTCAGCTGAACCCTGGTATGACGGAGTGGCTATGGATTGGAGACCCCTCTGTATCCAAGGATTTACCATCTTTGGTTTCGGACAGGGTTACAGTGCCCCGGACAGACCCCATGTGTAATCTGGGGGTCCTCCTGGACTCACGACTCCTGCTCGAGGACCAGGTGGCAGTTGTGGCCGGGAGGGCCTTTACCCACCTTTGTGTGGTATGCCAGTTACGCTCTTTCCTGGATCAGGAGGCTCTCCAGTCAGTCACTCATGCCCTGGTCATCTCTCGGCTAGGCTATTGCAATGCGCTGTACTTGGGGCTACCTTTGAAGAATATCTGGAAGCTACAGCTGGTTCAAAATGTGGCTGTGTGGATAATTTTGAGTGCCCCAAGAACGGCACATATAGCACCTTTACCTGCACGAGCTGCATTGGGTCCTAGTCTGCTTCCAGGTCCAATTCAAAGTATTGGTTATTACCTTTAAAGGCCTAAAAGGCATGGGCTCAGGTTACCTGAGGGACTGTCTCACCCCCATGACATCAATCTGTCCCACCCTGTCAGGCAGAGAGGGCATGTTGCAGACCCCATCAGTGAGAGGACGGCTGGTGGGGCCCAGGAGGAGAGCCTTCTCTGCCGTTGCCCCCGCCCTTTGGAATATTCTCCCCCCAGAGGTGCGGCAGGACCCTACCCTCCCAGCCTTCCAGAAAGGATTAAAGACCTGGCTCTGCCAGCTTGCATGGGGGGACAACCATCTTACCCAATCCTGGGGGTGGCTGCCGCCTTGATGACGCTCCCTGAGTGACTGCCAATTATTCTTGGATCTATTTATTTTCTATTTATTAATAGTATATAGTAATTCTGTAACTTTAATTGATTTTAACTGTTTTGTAAACCACCCAGAATTGTTTCAACAAGATAGGCAGTGACAAATTTGGTATATAAATAAACAAAAATATTTCCTACTCCAATCCTCTGGATCTCACTAGTTTTCCTAGAGCGCTCAAAGATTACCAAGAGTGATTTTGCAATCATTTCTGCTAGTTCCTTTAATATCCTGGGATATATAATCCTTCTGGCCATGGAGACTTGAATTTGTTTAAATTAGCTAAATTCTAGAATCATAGACTCATAAAATCATAGGGATGGAAGGGACTTTGGAGGCCTTCTAGACCAACGTCTAGACCAACACCTTGCCCAGGGCAGGAATCCTCATAACATCACAGCAAAATTACTGTCCTCCTGAGAAAAACCTCCTGTGAAAAAGTACCCATGACTCCAAGATTAGACTGTTCCACTGCTTAATGGCTCTCACAGTCAGGAAATTCTTTATTTTGAGTTCGGATTTTCCTCTGTCAAGCTTCTACTACCTAACAGTTCTTGTCCTAACTTTAGGGGCTCTGGAGAATAAATCCACACTCCTGTAATAATCTTTCAAGTATTCAGTCTTGAATGAAAAGACAGATAGGTGTTTAAAAGTTCTACCTTTTCACCATTATTGATTACTAATTTACCACTTTCTCCTTGTGTCCTTTGATTTTAATTTTATTTCTAACATTGAAAGAACGCTTTTGCTGTTTTTGGTATCCCTCACAAGCCTTAGCTCACTCTGAGTTTTAGCCTTTCTGACAGAATTTCTACTGTTTCTGGAAACTACCCTGTTTTCTTATTTAGTTATGTTTCCTTCTTTCTTTTTTTATAATATTTTATTGAGATTTTAAAGATACATATTTAAAAGTTAGAAATGAAAAG